AAAACTTCAGATATGAGCATGTGTTCAAACTTGCAAGATGAATGAAAGCATGGAGTGCTGCCTGGAGTAATGCACTAAATTGCACTGTCAGGCACAGCCAGAGAACAGCTGGATATGCATTCGGTCTACAAAAGATATGGTTTCAGGGGATGGGCTACAATTTTTTGATGGAGCCTCTTTGAAAATGGGCTATTACTAGACTGAACACAAAAGTCTTAGCATATAGACAAGCACTGCAGTGAACTTGGTCCTATTCATAGATGTCTTATGTCTGGTCACTGAATATGTCTATGATAAAATCTGAGAAAGAATTATAGCATGATTTAACAGGAGCCAAGCTAGCTTTAAACAACCAACTCTGGTGTTGGTAACTAAGTTCAAGTAGCGCTAAATCCAGTTCAGGCTTTTTTTCCCCCAGTTCCAAAGTAAGTTCCTGGGCAGACATGAGCTACTGTAGCTGACTGTTGCAGTATCTGCATCCATTCAGAAACAGTTTCCCTCTCTGCGTATTCCAGAACAGTCACTTGTGTGTCCAGTGTCTAAGTACCTTTGAACTCTTGGCAGTGATTTTAGCTATGTTCATCCATACAAGCATCAACCCTAAGGCCAGGCTTTTACATAGTAAAATCATGCTGCTTCAGGCACTACCAAAGTTCACCCTTCTCATATGTGGGTCATGCCGTTTTAATAATGGCAGAGGCAGTACTACACACAGTTTGCTTTTTAGGACAGGAAGTAAAAAAAAACAACAACAAAAAAAAACCCACCCAGTTGAAGAGATAAGACAGCAACCCCAGGAATGTTTCTGACCACATATTACTATTACTTAAGAATACTCCTATAATAGCGATGAGTTAATGACACCAAGCCTTGTGTGATCTGACATGCAACATGTGAGTTGACAGTGTTCAGACAGAAATACTCTACCTCCGTCAAACTAAGTGGCTCCTATTATAGCATGGCGGTTAAACCATGCTGCTGAATAAGCTTTGGCAGCTATCATGCGAACTCCTGAAGTGGATGAATCACTGTCATAACAGATGATTGAACAGGGGTATATACAATGTGATTCCTTAATGTCTTTCAGAGGTTCACACCTCAAACCAATTGCGGCAAAACTCAAGTTATATCACACTGCAAACTGAGTTCCATTTCCTTCTAAAAAAAAAAAAAAAAAAAAAAATCAACCTTGATCTTCTGTGAAAGCAACATAACAACAGATGGAAGGATCTGCATATTTCCAGGTAGAAACATGTTTTGGTATTTCATTTCGACTCTGGAATAAGAAAGACATGCTGTCAGATTAAGTCTTCTAGATCTTAAATTTAGGTATTGTTCATGTTTTACTACTTCGTGGCATTGCAGAAGAGCATTACTAATCTATGACCAAGAAAAAATGAAAATTCTGTCATCAGCACTCTTAATTAAATCTAGACCAAGTACACTTAACTAGACTGCTTCCCAGTGTCTACTGCTGAAGGTAGGACTGTGTTTAATTTACTATTTTACTTTTAAACAACTATTAGTGGAATTGCAATAAATAATTTATTGGAAGGAAAAACTAATTCTACAAAAAAGTTTGTCCTGAATGACATTTCTGAATGTGGTACACAGTGCAGAACCATTTGATTACTTGGTTTCATTAACTGTGTTCAATACCTTTATTAAAGTTAAGTTAAACCTTTTTTTGGATAACACATTCATAAAGTGAAGCAAAAGTTTGGCCTTGTAACAGTTACTAGGAGAAATAATTTGAAAGATATTCTTATAACTTATATTTATTAACCTACATAGGCACAATTTTATTTTCCCTCATTAGTTTTTTTGTATATATAGAAAAGGGCTGTAGGCTTTACAAATGACAAAAACACAGTTGCATGTACAGTCCTGTCCAGTCATCATGATGGAATGGAGATATAGGAGTAACAAAATCTATGCCCCATGAATAGAAAGAAATTTAAAGTCCAGTTTCAACAGAAATTTTAAAAGCTACTTGAAAGAATTTTTTTTGTTTGTTTTTAAGATGTTATTGCTATCCTCTATGCTTCTATTGCAAATTCTAGAACCGTTGATGCAATAAAAGGCATGCTCCTGGAATAAAAAGCAATGCTTAAGCAATCTCAGTATCTGCTAAGAACAAATAATCCCATGTGGTTGCAGAAAAAAAAACTGAAAACATGAAGCAAATTCAACCTAAAAGTTCAGAAACCAGAAAGTAAATAGAAAAAAAGTCTGCCTGTTTTTTTTTTTTTTCCCAACCCCGAATTTTAGGGTCATGATTAATTGCTACCTCAGGCATCTAAAATCCATTAATATTAATAATATCATAACTGAATTTTCAGATAGATTAAGACATTTATTGTGATGTTTTCATTTTGTGCTTTCCTCTGTTCCAGCAGTGAAGCCAGAGTGGACAATTTCATTTACCAATTTCCATGCACCAGTGCACTGTTGATATGTTCAAACTCTCAAACTGGCAGGCAGGGATTCTTTGAATTAAAAAGACGTTCCTTAAATGAAGACAAAACCATTAGAAGAATTCTATACATGTCAATTTCTGTAAGATATCTGTACTTCTTTAAATGATGCATTTGCTAAATATTGCCTCTGTATAGGCTCTGACAGTCCTGTATCATCTGCTGTTTTCCGTATTATCAGCTCCATACATTCCTTCATTTTTTTCCCTTTCCTTCCAAGTTCCCTACAGGTGATCCATAAATCTCTCCTGTTACAGTCTTCTCCCTCATGTCAGGAGCTCAGTTCCTCACTGTGGCCTACTGCAGACAGAGAAATGTCATTGTATCAAACCTACGAACTTGCTTTGCTTGGCCAGTTATCTGTAGCATTAGCATATTCTCTGTGGTATACCACAAGAATGTGAAGCAACATGCTGGACTGCCCTAAAGAAAAAGGGGAAGAGGAATGCAGGGCAGTTTGTTCTGTACCTCTTGTCTGAGAGGTTGCAGTGGACTCCAATTTGCCTCAGTAAATCATCTTCACATGAAAAGTGGTGGCAGAGTCCCCATTTCAACTTTTGTCGTGGATGCCTGGAATGTCTGGGCATCCACACTATCATGCCCTCACGTCCATGGCAAAAGACAATACCTGAAGTGCTTTGCTAGATAATGAAAACTTTGTGCTTCTAATGTACCATTACAGTGATTATTTTGAGTGAAGCAGCAAAGAAATTGAAAAATTTCACAGTGATTGCTAAACAAAGACTTTTCTGCCCAGCAAATAGCTGAAGAGATGGTATCAGATGACGATCCATAACATAGCTGAAAAGAATGCTGAAATAAGTGCATATCAATGGCTTTTTTCAGTGACATTGAGCCTTTATTATTTTAATCATACTGAAAAAAACCTGTGCATACTGTGAAATAAACAGCTTTGCTTCTATGTAGAGAATTTATGTTTTTATGGAGATAATAAAAATGTGCTTATTAGGTTGGCACTTTAGAATTTCTAACGCTGACTTCCTTGATCTATGGTTTCTAGGTTTTGTTCATGATGACAGATCAGTAGGAATGTATTGTGTGCATTTGCCTAGTTTTTGTTTTCAGGCTACTGTATTTGACCACAAAATGGTTAACATGCTGAGCACCGCTTTATTCCACTATATGATGTAATCTTAAGTAAAAATTCTGCATCAGGATCATGATGATTCAGTTAACTTTTTTCTAGACTTGTAGAGAGCAGGGAACTAGCTTTCTGCATAATGCTAATCATCTGGTCCCAGATGTTAGTGTATGCTATTTAATAGGGACGATAACTGCATAATAGCAGTATTTTCTCCATTTCAGCTTTTTTTTTTTTTTTTTAAAATCTATTACTTCAAAGGGCCTGCTAAAATCAATTATTAGGAACTGCTTTTCTTAAACTTGGATGAATAAACAGATAATTTTATATCATGAACAGAGACGTTACGACTGAACTTAATCAGGCTAGAAATCTGTGTAAATTTCTTGTACAGTTCATTTAATGAAGCAACTGAGAATAAAGCAGAATCTGGCACTGATTCCAATACTTTCTTAGTTTAAAATTTCACTCTTCAGAAATAACATCATATATACCATTTGCACAGCACACTACTGACACCAGGATTTGTCATTGTACTTAGAGTTCTTTTAAATGTAGAAAATTAAGCTCACACCACCCATAACAATTAAATAAGTGATGGCATTTTTTTTTAAAACATTCTAAGGGTGTTAACTTTGGTATTCCAGCCAAGTTATAGTTTAGGAAATTACATTTTTCCTCCCTGTGTTTCAAAGTGGATAATGTGGCTTCAGTTCTTGTTCTGAGCTGACAGACAACACTGCTCTAGGCTTTAAAATGACTGGATTTCTAAAACGAAACAAGCTGTACAATGAACAGCAGAATAAATGAAGCCTGCTTTCTTTTTCCCTCCTCTCCATAAAGTTGTGTCCTACAACTATTCATTCCTGCCCCTGCTCGTTCTTCCACGTCCCTCCTTAAAGCAGCTCTAACCTGCTATATCTTTGAAGTATTTGGAGTACACACTGGGTTGATCAACATGCAAGTAGGCCAAGCAGAGCCAATAACTGTTCAGATGAATAATGCAGCCTTTGTCTCATTAATCACTAATTTAGATTTTTCTCCTATCTCCAGCTGCTAACGTTCATGGAGCTTGTGGGAACTTAATCTTTGAGACCCCGACACCAACAGTGAATCAGGGTTGACATTAGCTAACAGGTTTGTAAATTACCCGAGGAGTGAGGGTACTGATGGAGAGGGAGCAAGTGAGCACAATCTGATCAGCATCGCTTCCTCAGGAAACATAAAGAAACAAAATGCAAAATTTTGCAGTGTGAGGCAGAGCTGTATTCCCACAAGTTCCTGGTAAGAACGCTGGCAGATAAGGACGAGCAAATTAACCGATTACAGTATTTTTATCATACTACGCTGTTCTTTCTTCCTCCCTACGGTTCTGTGCAGGTGTCCTTACTCGCAGGGTCTCAGAGAACTGTTTCACACACCTGTCCAGACTTGAGAAGGGCTCCTTGGGGGAGCAGGGATCACCGTGACAAGCTGGACAATTTGTCTTTGGGTAGCGCATTCGCTTAGCCCACTTCCAGTCATCCTCTGTGAGGGAAGAGAGGAAAACAAAAAAAAAAAAAACAAAACAAGGAAAACCC